TTTCCTTTATTCTTGAAGGTATTCAAAATACTTTTTTAAATAAAATAATTACGCAACCAGTGTGTGAAAATCACTTGCACCGAGAACATAAATATGTCAACAGGCCTTGCAAAGAGGCTCAAACATTCCCACAGTAGCAAGGATTGAACGTGAGCAAAATTAGCAAAGATAGCCGTATGGTTCCAACACACAGTTGAGCTGATATTGAATTGGTTTATTTATAGTTATGATGGGAGCCAATAGGTGGGTTTGGCAGAACCGATCTGCCTTTATATATACATTTAACATTAGTCAGAACATAAGTACATACTATAGTACTATATGTACATATGTCTTCAAACATCACATACAGTAAAGCACATCCCAGCTATTAGAGCTGTACGGTGTTGTTGGGGAAAAAAGCAATGCAACATAATGTTAAAAGCTTGACACTTGGGTCTGTGTACTGTATGTTAATTAGAGCTCTTATAAGTACACGCTGTCGAGTTGGTCCAATCAGATGAAGCCATTCAGTATTTCCTGCCTGAACCTAGGGTTGCTCATTAGCAGCAAAAACCTACTATAAGCATTATTTATTTAATTTATGCAGCTTGGAGATACTATTCTAAGGAAACTGTTTTTTAACGCATAGAGAGGTTTATACCCCTCAATATGATTGGAACATTGACAGACATCTACCACATGAGCATTTCCAACAGCATCTATGTGAACCTTCAATGCAAATTGCAGTTTTCCGTGGCAGCACTGGCTGTACTCCAACAGTCAGCTGCTGCTGCTGTTGCCCGGCAACATACCGTATTTCATAGTTCTGCTCTGGTGCTGAGCAGAAGTCAGCTTTTCATCTCATTTCATCTTACCACACATCTATATCTGTGGACTTCTACATATTGTGTGTGTCTGTCAAATTCATTGTTAAAGATCATTTGTCGAGGGGTTTGATTGCTTTTTTTCATTTTGTTATTATAAGTCGATGTAATCGTTTACAGCTCCATTCTGCTTCAAAAAAGTGTCCTTTTTAAAAGCATATGCATTGGTTCAATTTCATTTCATGTTACTGTTAACAAGATGCCAGACTTTAAAACTGTACTTTTCAATCAGTGTTGTTAAAGCTTATTGGCTCATTCACTTCCTCTCATTTCCCATACAAATGTGTCTGTGAATGTAATTCATCACTGCATTTGAGACATATTTGGCAAAGTTGTATCGATATACGCTGCTATGCTTCCATACAATCTATTAACCTAACAGAACCCTGAGTGGTGACTGTGCTGAGTATGGTATTTTGCACTAGCTGGTAAAGTGTCAAAGCACACATCACTATCACAGATACACACTGCACACTGCGAAATGTTTTGTGTCCAATTGAATAGACTAGCTGAGGCCCGCCTCATTATCCCAGGAGCAACGACTTTGAGATTTCTCTAGTCAAGCATTCATTATTAAAGAGCATTTTGATCATGTTTGGTTTAAGCTTGAGCTATGAGACTCTTCCTTTGTCTTCTCCACATTTGGCACTGCTGAGTGGCCCTGTTTGCAATGCACTGCACAAATCTGCCAAGCATACTCTTACTCCTGAATGTATTGCTTCTGATGGCTTGTGTCATGTGTACATATGCAGGGATGGAGTAGAGTACTAGAATATTTTACAAGAAAATGTGCTCAGTAAAAGTAAAAAGTAGGTCAGAGTAAACATTACTGCGTAGAATTTTCAAAGGAGAAAGGCTGGTTGATGAAGATGATTACATTACATGATAGATCTATTAAATCAAACTCCACCTTCAGGCTACAATCACAAGTGCATTCACATGTAAAAGTATACACTAGTTAAAGAAAAATCACAAAGTGCTTATGTCTAAACAACAAATTCCTTTTCTATAGACGGCATGCAACTGGTTTATCAATTCTAAAAAACACAACATCCTACCTATAGCCTCAAAAGAGTTAACGACAAAAGAGTATCAGACGATTAAACAAGAATGATCAATAATTAAGAAATTATAAGGTGACAGAAAAATAATAAAACCTGCTCCTTGTAGTTATTTTATTTGTGTAGGTTCTGTTGATACTAGAGGCACCCCTTTCCTTTCTTTATGCTAAGCTATGTTAGCTCAGCTTAAGGACTTGAAAGCAGCACCAGAACAAGCATTTGTTGGAAATAAAAAAACTCACTCTTGCTTGGACAATGGACTTCTTAATTCTACATCTCATCTAAAATGGTGCATCAGAAAATCTCATTTAGCAATCACAAACCAGTTTTTACCTCAACATACTAAACGATACGATTCTAGGCAATGAAATGGTTGTTGACATCCTCTGAAGAGAGGTCTGTTTTTGAAGTGCTCCTTAACTAGCCTAAGGTCAAACGCATCTATTTTCACAAAGCCTCTTTGCTCCAATTGTGCTCCTCAAATTGTGAACATGTTGAGCTCTCTTCTGTCACAGCTATGACAGGTATTATTGACACAAATAGCAGAAAGGCCTGACACACCTCACTGAAGGTTAAAGTGAAACTGCTATAGTGGATCCACAATAAACATCAAGTCATATTCACATCTAGTAGGAAGTCCCAGTATTGCACATGCGGTGACTAAGGTAGATGCAACCTTTTAAACTCTGCTGAAATACAATTATCCACATTTTTTATTTTATAGTATGATTGTGCCTTTTTGTACTGTTACTAATTGCTAAAGCCCAGGCCAGGTGCAATCACACACCTCAGCCCCGAACACTCAGCCAGTTAATGTTAAAACTCAACATGTATGTTTTCCCGAGTGTCCAGAAGTGGTCCTCCTGCTTTTATTCAAACAATGACTATGTATTTTATGATGAATTTTGCAACTCGATGTCAACCGACTTAATTCACCTTTGATCTGAATTATTTACAGCCTTAGTTTTCTGTGTGAGACTAGTAGGTGATCAGTAGATTAATATGTTGCACCTGAAAGCTTGTATTCCCAGTACACTGAGATCAGCACCAGATCTAAAAGATAACCTTTGCTGTCACTGTCAAGTAATGATCTTTGGTTGGATTTCACACTTTCACAGGCAGTCTGTTATCTAGGTGAGTGGTGCATTTTAATAGCCACAGGCTTCAGAAATCCACGGAGAGTACTGGATGAATAGATTGCTCAGAAGTTAGCTGAGTTTTATCCAGCACTTCAAAAATACTTAGCAAGTAACCACACGTCTGTACTGGAATAACCGTCGGTATCTGACTGGGTGTGAAGGAATTCCAGTGACTGATATACTGTTGGATACTAGCCATCCAATGTTTTACCTTGTACCTCCGACCCACCTCTCAAATATGATTTCTGCATGATAATATATTTTGTGTATCTTATGAGTGGTTTAAGCCACTATTCTCTCAAGACATTGCCAAATAAAAAAAGGAATATTGTGTGTTTGATGTCTAGTACAGTAGCCATAGTAACCGTGATGTCGCCTGTGTTTAAATGTCACCATGTGCCTGTGCTTTGTCCTCAGCTGTCCCCTTCCCCCTGAGCCACCGCCTTACAATGAAGGAAGTGTTCGACTGCGAAGGGAAACCTCGCGTGGATCTCCTGAAGGCCCACCTCACCAAGGAGGGCCGCGTGGAGGAGGCCGTGGCGCTTAAAATCATCAGCGAAGGGGCCGCTATCCTGCGTCAGGAGAAAACTATACTGGACATCGAAGCACCAGTCACAGGTATTTAATAACCTCTCAGAGATATAGAGAGGCGAAGCCCCTCCCTTTCCGGGGGACCTCCATGGGACCTTATTTCGGAAAAAGTATGTATTGAAGTCAATGGCGAGAGAAAGATTATCTTTCGATCCCGTTTGAATTGTGCCACGAATTACACATATGATGTTTGTCAATTTAACAGATAATTTTGCAAGTCAAAAAAATGTAAATGTCGTAAAACTGTGAAGTAACACTTTTTTTGTGTGAAACCGCTCAATGAACTACATCTCCCGTCTCGCACCACACACCAAGATGGCGTCACGTTGGCACATTTCACTTCTTTCTTTTAGAATGAGGCGAAAAGTATTAAAAGAGGTGAAAATCACTCCAAGTCTGGGCATGTTGAGAGCTGTACATACACACAAGGGGAGTTAGTCAGTTCCGTAAGAGCCAGCATGCGGGACCGGGATTCTGGGATTTGTAGTCTTTCTAGTCGCATATTTTTCATAGTCTTAACAGTTTTAACGACAAACTGTGACATTGTGTGACATGGAAATCATTTTTTAAGATTGACAAAACATCATATGCTGTAAATTTGTGGCACAATTCAAACGGGGATCTAATAATAAAAATCTTTCTCTCTCCATTGACTTCAATTCATAATTTTTCCGAAATAAGGTCCCATGGGTCGGAAGTAGATTGGCGGGACTTCGCCTGTCTATTAACCCAGGGCCTGTCATGCTACAGTTGTAAGGCCTCCAATTCTGGTTAAAAGCATTATAACTAGTTCGATTTTACACAACACGCTTCTTGAATTAGCGGCGGCCAATCTCATATCTGATACCCACAGCTTCAGTGTGCAATGTTTTGGCAATTTTTAAAGTTTTTTCCAATAGCCCAAACCTACTCACTAGCTTATTTTTATAGTGTCAGTCCTGCAATACATTCCTATAGTCTATATTTTTTAGATTGAATGGTTTTGGCGATATGCGATTCAACTCACTGTTCTTTTTGGAAGCTGTAATTTGTGTAGATGTATTTATATATTTTATTTTTAAATTAGAACTTCTGATCTCTCGACCTCTTCTCTCTCCATTCGATTTAAATCAATGAGGAAAGAGTGACATAGATATAAATGGGTAGCAAAAGAGTAGAGGTAGATCAATGTGATTTGCTTAGGTGAAAAATAGTCAGAACAAGTTGATATAACCACATAACCCGAAAATAAATGACCTCTTTAATAAACTGCTCCATCTCTTAGTAGCTTCATTGGCCAAACCTTTTGAATTGCAATGACAAAGAGCAACTTGTTTGAAAAAAGTGAAACATCTAGCAGCTTCCTCGATACTGAAATAGCCTAGGTCTGCATAGTTGGGACATATTTTGAAACAAACACAATTTCCAGAAGTACATTTGGGACTTGAGTGTATCTGATGTTTAGAGACAAGGCTTCAATCAAAACGCTAATGTTGCTTCTTCTCTACTGAATAGGAAAGAAGGTCATTGTTTGCTAGCAAGTTAGCCAGACTGTGGCTTTCTTTTAGCGTGTCGTGAAGTGGTCAAAAAATCTAATATTGCAATTAAAAAATACAATTTGTGTGGTCTACATTTACAAATATTTACATTGACATTGCTAACATGCTGTTGTTTAACAGGTAAGATGTTTAACAGTCATTAACCATTAACCAACTAGCACTAATCAAAGACGTAGCAGGTAAAGGTTTGATGATCAAAATGAAAAACGATTTATCCTAAAGTGGATATTAATGCCTGGACAACATTTCTACAAATCTATGATGATCATGTATTTAAAGGTGGGGTAGGTAATTCACTTCAGAAGCACTTGTTGTTATATTCCATGGAATTTTCTTAACATCCCGATAGCAATGAATATATTAAATACATTAAAAAATGTCATCTGTGGAAGCCGTGGTTACATTACATTACATGTTACTTGTTAGAAGCTTTTATCCAAAGCGAATTACATACTCAATACTGTGGACAATCCCCACAGGAGCAATTTGGGGTGAAGTGTCTCAGGGACACAACGACATGCTGACTGCAGTGGGACTCGAACCTGCTATCCCCTGATTCGAAGTCCATCACACTATCCACTGAGCCACATCCTCCTCCGTGGCACTGTAAAAAGCACGACCAATCGTTTGAGTCGGCCCGGCTACAATAACTGGATGGCCTACCTGCCTCTCANGGTTATTATAGAAATATAGCAAACAAAAGAAGTTCTGTTTGGTTATACAGATTTGTTTTCATGTACACATACTAGGCATTTATTTGTTTTCCAATTATTGACTGACATCCCATCCCATGTTTTCATTTCATTTTTTTTCATTTGTTCCGTTCATGGTATGCACAACTTAAAGTGGACCTATCATGCTATATTTGAATAATATAGTGTAGGACCATACCTATATAAGGCTTATTTATACTTTTTATTTTTCAAAATACCAAACAGATCATGCTTTTTAGCCATTCCTCATTTCGCTCAATTTAACACTGTCTTTGCATGGGCTGATTCTGTGAGAACAGCACCATCTACAGGCCTGGCATATGTACTACAGCGTCTCCAGCGCTTTGGAACGGCAATGTCCGTGGCTGTCTCCTCCTGATTGGTGGAGTTGGCCCAATAGCCGTAGNTTTCGCTCAATTTAACACTGTCTTTGCATGGGCTGATTCTGTGAGAACAGCACCATCTACAGGCCTGGCATATGTACTACAGCGTCTCCAGCGCTTTGGTCCAAAGCGCTGGAGACGCTGTAGTACATATGCCAGGCCTGTAGATGGTGCTGTTCTCACAGAATCAGCCCATGCAAAGACAGTGTTAAATTGAGCGAAATGAGGAATGGCTAAAAAGCATGATCTGTTTGGTATTTTGAAAAATAAAAAGTATAAATACGCCTTATGGGTATGGTCCTACACTATATTATTCAAATATAGCATGATAGGTCCACTTTAAGTTGTGCATACCATGAACGGAACAAATGAAAACAATGCCTAGTATGTGTACATGAAAACAAATCTGTATAACCAAACAGAACTTCTTTTGTTTGCTATATTTCTATAATAACCCATTATAAGTTCTGAAAAAAGAAGATCCATCAGCATTTTCCAATGTCAAAGCTGTCTTACAAGAACAAACAAAGAACATGCTGTATTGATGTCATGTGTCCTCTGTCAGGTAAAATCAAGTACTCAGAGCAGGTGTACGACTCGTGTATGGATGCGTTCGACTGCCTTCCCCTGGCTGCACTCATGAACCAACAGTTTCTGTGTGTCCACGGTGGGCTCTCCCCTGAAATACACACCTTAGATGACATAAAAAAGGTAACAACATACCGTCGGAGCACTATCGTGTATTTCTTTTAAAGAAATGATCAGTTTTTCAAAGCTGCATCTCTGCTTCTTTATTTTAAGTTGGACCGGTTTAAGGAGCCGCCGGCTTTTGGGCCCATGTGTGACCTGCTGTGGGCGGATCCTCTGGAAGATTTTGGCAATGAGAAAACCCAGGAATATTTCAGCCACAACACAGTGCGAGGCTGCTCCTACTTCTACAGGTGAGCTGTTCTTCTTCCCCGCAACATATTCACACCTCCTGGATTATTATGTCCATACCTAGATACTTGAGACTATGAGTGCAAAGCTTTTAATTCCAACTTTACTTCGTTACCAATTGCTTGAATCGTTGGGTTTTTGACTAATTGTATTGCAAGCACTATCATCCAGTATGTCAAGTGTCTCTGCTTCCATTAGCTTGACACATATGGCTTGTTGAAGATCTCTTATTAATTGCAAACTTAAAAATCCTTCAAAAATAAAAATCCTACCTCACAGGGATAGCTAAAAAAGAACATGCAAACGATGTTGGTTGATCATTAAGCAGGTGATTTCTTCCTCACACCTCTTCTGCTTTATTTACTCATCGTTATGGTGTGAGGAGGATGGAAATGAGAGTAGGGAATAGCACGCGTTCAGAGTAGGGATGCCAGCGATTATTCGATTTTTCGAATATTCGTTACAGTCTCCATAATCGAAAATTATTTTTAAAAATCGATTTTATTTATATATATCTTTATTATTATTTATGTTTTTCTTTTCCTGGCTTAGTTTCAACCAAAATATAGACTAATGCTAATAATAGTAATAGTATTAATAATTGTAAATGGCCATTGGTCACACCAAACTTGGAGGAAGCAGACTGCAGAGTGCAGACTGCTGCTGCCTGCTGCAGCCTGCTACACACCAACCAGCCCCCTCCCCCCCTCTCCGTCACACGTGCGATTGATTTATTGGCGATATACAGAACAGGGAGAACAACACAACTCAAGATGAACAAAGCGGTACGTTCACAGAAAAGAGTACTTCGAGAGTACTTCGAACTGACAAGTGCAAATGAAGTAAAAAAAAAAAAAAATGTTCTCTCCCCCGGGGGGGGGCGAATAATCGATTAATATCGCCAGGGCTGTCCGATTTTCGAATTCGATTCATGTTCAGTTTCTGGCATCCCTAGTTCAGAGGTCAACGACCTGAATTACCCATTTTGATGAGATCCCATTTAATCTTGCAGGAGATTTGGATGAGTACAGGAGTTACACAAAGCTTCTCAACTGAATCGCTTAATATCACAATATAGAAGTTTAAGATTTTAAATTTTTATAGATACAAACATGTATTGCTTCCTGAACAAAACTAAAAAGAACAAAACAAAAAGAGACACCGCTTAACATCCCATAAATGGAGATAAAAGCAAGAATGAGGACTGCGATTAAATTTTAAAGGAATTATTTACTGATGAATTGGTTAAATATATCCTTAAAGGCTATAGATAGTGTGTGTGTGTAAATGGGATCTTATATGCCTTGTGGTTAACAGGTTTCTTAACGACAAATAATCAAATGGTTAAAATCTGAGTCAAATAAGAAAATGAGACAAGGAGAGAGGAGTAAAAATATGACTGCTGAGGCTCAGCTGGAAAGGGTTTTTTTAGGCAATTCTTCCCCTTCGATGACGGAGCACGTAAAATAAGTATTGTTCCTTACATGTGTTGCAAATTTAAAGTTGGAAGTAGGTGATGGTGAGGAGAGGTGGGAGGGATATTAGGTTGGGCTTGGTGAGAGTTTTCTTATGAAGGTTCAGAACGGTCACACTCCCCCTGCGTTGGAAGATGCTAAATCATAAAAAGTACAGTCATGGAAGGAAGGCTTCTCAATACTTTAACTCCCCTCCTTCGACTCCTACCCTCGACTCCTTCTCGTGTCTTTAGTCCTCCGCCCACAGGAGATGCGAAGCGGAGGTAGTCGAGGAGGGGAGCCGAGAGAGAGGAGGGGAAGCAGCAGGCGTTTAGCAGAATGAGAACTCCTCTCCTCTGAGCGGTTCATTTTTAAAGAGACGTCCATTAATGATGACAGGAGGCACCAGCAGCCCTCTGCTCTGACTGGAACAGATTGTGTTCATGATGACTTACTAATTTACTTTGAATTTCATTCACCAGTGCCGGTAAACTGAGAAATAACAGGCTCAAAGCGCGGACATTTATATAAATATATACAATCAGAATCAAAACAGTACGAGAGCACTCACAGCATATACATAACACCAACAGAGACGGATATATCCCCCCCCCCCTTCTCTGGTCGCTGAAATGGGGAATGAAAACGGGCCAAGTGACAAGTATATAAAATAAGCAAGACACAACCAACCCTGGGACCCGGTCTGTCGCGCATCTACGCATGTACAACACGCACCTACAACAACACCTACCACCACTGCAACACACACCTACCACACTGTACAACACCAAACCTACA